AGAATAAAGTAAACCCACACCCCATCACGCACACACTCCACAATGAAAAACTACTTTAAAGCCAGCAGAGTGGCAAAAACAGAAATAACCACTTTGGAAACCTACTTGGCATCATCTAGCAAAAGTGATGTGCAGACCCCAAGAACCAGAAATTCCAAGCTAGAAAAACTCTCAATAAACCAAGACACAGACATAAAAATGCTCACAGCTCTGTGTGCAACAACAATACACTTAAAACCACCCAACCAGCCATTAACATAAGTATTTTCCCCAAGAAATACTTTATAGCAGTGAAAATGAATAAACCACAGCCATACATGGCCCATAAACATGTTAAGGGATCAAAACCAGTTACAAAATAATATACATAGCAAGATTCCATCTAGATAAACTCTTTATATGTGCTTTTTGATATATTTATATTAGAAAGGCAAAAAACAGGTAAGTTCAACTACAGTGTTTTAGAATATATACATCTGTGGTTAAACTAAAAGAAAAGTTTAAAGAAAAATAAGAGAATGAAAAACACAAAATTTTGGATAGTGGTTCTCTCTGGAGAGATGGAAGGGCCCATGGAGAACTTGGAAGGCATTGGTAATTTCCTATTTTAAAAGGTGGATGTGTGATTGGTATATGTATGGCCATATTGTTGAATTTTAAACTGTATATATAAAGTTGATCCTTGAGCAACATGGGTTTGAATCATGTGGGTCCATTCATATGTGACTTTTTTCAATAAATATCTGTACTGTTTTCAATCTACAGTTGGGAGTCCACGTATGTGGAGGGCCGACTGTATGCATTGATCTATGCTATTTTATACAGGGGACTTGAGCATCTGCAGATTTTGGTATCCATGGGGGTCCTAGAACCAATCCCCCAAGGATACCAAGGGACAATTAAATTTTGGGGGAGTCAAAAGTTAACCATGGATTTTGAACTGCGCGGGGGTTGGCACCCCTAATAACTGTGTTGTTCAAGGGTCCACTGTATGTTATATGTTCTTTTATCTCAAACAAAAACAATCCCTAGACCACCTTACAATGACAGTATTTCTGGACACGTCCAACTTTGCTTCACAATTCTGACAAAGAGCTCACTTTAGCTGAAGCAGATAAATTCCTTCTAACTGACCAATGACAACGACTGAACTGAAAGACCACCTCATCTAAACTTTATTGGTAGAAGATTTAGTGCAAACATTTAGAATGAATTCCCAAAAGAGGAAAGGGATTGGCAGAGCAGGAAAATGCCATACTTATTTAGAGTCTTTGAGAGTAATATAGCTCCATGGGAAATAATGTAATTGAGAACTGAGCCATCATTCATACCACTTAAAATTTCAGGGCCTTGTTTTAAATAGTGTCCACAAATTATTTACAACCAAAAGCATGTACATCTGTCACATCATTACAGTACAAATAATTATGAATTAGATTACACTTAATTGAGACTAATTGAGACTGTGACTGAAGCCTGACTTGAAAATCAATCTCCAAAAAGGCAAAGAAACAAAAACTTCTTTCATGAGGTGTCCCCCAATTCCCTTCAGAAAGACAGTTCCTGAGCCCTGAAAGATTCCCATTCCAGGGTAGCTTAAATCTTTGTTCTCATTAATAAAACCAAATCGAACAAAACAAAAACACTGAAACACACAAAATCCAACAAGAGGAGGGCAGGGAAATCAGTCAAAACCAACTGCATTCCACTATCAAATCATTCCTGAACTCTAAGTATATTCAATCTTAAATTCATGGAGCCTTCTGCTGTTTTTCATTTAAGCCTTGTGCTAAATGTTTAAGTAGTTAACATTGATTTTATTACCTTCTTCTGAGAACAGACAGCTGTCAGGAAAATTATGCTTTGAGAGTAAACGAATGGAAGAACACTAAGTTCTCAATGACTCGGAAGAGGGCAAGGGCACAGCCGACTAGAGAAAGAAATGCAGACATCTTTACTCTCTCACTCCCCAAACATTCTCATATAAACGTTAGTAGCTTTAATATTTAACGTTTTCAAATGGCCATGAAGTGCTGGCCTATTCAACTTGCATTCCAACCACAGTCCTGTTGCTTCCAGACTGGGCTGAATCAGAGCAGAGAAAGCTAATTCCGAGCAGGAGACTGGGGCGGGGACCCCCCTTGGCTTTGGTGCGCATGTGTCTGCCACCCTAACACAGTCAGCGCTCAGAACTGAGGCTGAGTTTCACTTTCCGCGTTTCTTTCTAGAGCTGTGTAGAGCTTCCCCGACATTCTAGTATTTTCTTTCCCAAATAAAACTCGATGCGGACTTAAGGAATTTTTTTCAACAGGAAAGGAATCTTCCAAAGAAAATGTTGAGAAATGAAAATAAAATGAGTATTCTTTAAAAAGGGATTGCCAAAGGCCACTTGATATTAATACAGAACTTCTTACTTCGGAGCTAGTTTAAACAGGCTCCATTGAGACTAATTCCTTTAGAAACCATCGATACAAAAATTAGTCAAGATTTCACTGGAGGATTGTTGATGTATACAATGAGGAGGGCTCATAATTTATTCTATAATATCACCTTCAAATTCCAATTCCAAATTCTGGATTTTAATTTTGAGACTTTTTAAAAGAGTATTCTGATTTGGGATGACAGGAGTCAAAATGAACTTCCTTCAATTTACGCTGAAAAAGGTATGTTAACATAAGAATTTTAATTCTTCCTCAGAGAGTGCCTCTGAGTGTTTGGAAGAAACATGATGCCTTTTTCTGTACTCATTCTTCCTTATCAGTGGAAAGAGAAAATTCCGGCAAATACGGGCAATATCCAATCAGCAATGTGGCTGGGAGAAGAAATGAAAGATGACACCTCCTTACTACAGCTAGTTACACAACCTCCTCCCTCTGCCGCTTGTCTACCAGTCAGCACAGAGAACGTGGTCTGTAGCTGGTGGTGGCTGGTCGCCAGCATGCCATGGCTCACACCCTTAAACTGGGCCAAGAAGGGGATGGACCGATACAGTATTCCTAAAGTAAAGAACAGAGCTTATGATACACGAAATAGCAAGAGGAATCTTGGTTATTTGTCTTTTTCCTGGGAGCACAGTATGTTCCCTTTCAACCAAGTTTCCATAAAACTTTCAGATAAAATGCTGCACTTTGAGCAAATTATAAATACAATACCTTTAAAATTATGGTCTAAGACTGCAGTAGAATGCATTGTATAGTCACCACTCATTCAGCCCTGCTGCTAACAAGCAAAAGCAAGTTCTATTGCTCTTCCAGTAAAGGCCACCATAGAAATTGGAGGTAGAGGTACAACAAATAACAAACAGAAAAAGCAAGCTTGAGCAACAGGGTTATCGAAAATTTTACAAAACCCTAGAGAAAGCACACATTTAAACCAAAAGGAAGATAATGAAAAAGATCTTTCTCACCTTTTGAAAGTTCTCCTTCCACAAATCTTCTATGACTATGTAACCTCGTAAACCCCAGTCATATAATTTCTCCCCACTGACCTTGAAATAAACAAACAAAAAGATCCATTGTTAGTTCATACATGACTGGTAAGGCAGAGAATTTTCCATTTTCCTTTTTCTGGTTTTCAATAGAGCTGTGTTTAAGCGTATAACGACTACAGAAGTCTTGGGACATGTGTATGTACACATTAAAACTGTGCATAGTGTGCAAATAAAAATAGTAATAATGCAAAATAAAAAGAAAAGTAGATTGGCTGTGTACAGTTATCATTTACAACGGTACGCCATCAATCAGGTGTATATTTCAAACTTTCACAATTTCAAGGGGAAAAAAATGTAGGAGATCACTGCTGATAAAAGAAATTCCTGAAAATCATACACAGAAAGAAGGCTTCTACCTATCGCATTAACAACCAACCATGTCACATTTGCCAAGCTGAAAATCATTTATTTTAGGGGCTTAGGTAAAATATCGGTGAACCCAATGAAGATGCTCGCAGTTTTCCCAAGTCCCCCAAAACATAAAATCTTTGAGTTTCTACAGGGATTTGCCTCCTGATCCAAAATCCTTTCTATAACACCCCAAGAGGTAGGCCCATGGTCAGAGAATATTTTGGGGCCAGGGGGTTCACTACTTTAAAAGGCACTTATCTACCTTTGGCTAGCTGGCTTTAATGGTTGGAAACATTTTTTAAAGTATTGAGCTGTCTTTAAAAAAAATGCTTCCACCTAGAGGTTATTATGCTGAGTGAAATAAGTCAGATAGAAAAAGATAAATATCATATGATTTCACTTATATGCAGAATCTAAGGAACAAAAAGAACAAACTAATCAAAAACAGACTCGCAAATATAGTGGACAATTTGGTGACAAGAGAGGGGCTGGGGGGCTGGGAAAATGGGGTGAAGGGTTAAAGAAGTACAAATTAGTAGTTGATAGTTGAGCACGGGGATGGGGAGCACGGCATAGGGAATGCAGTTAGCATTATATGTTGGCTAGGTGGAGGGCCAGGGGAGGGAGGGAGCAATTGGGGGGATCATTTTATGAACTATATAGAAGTTGAACCAATGTATTGTATACTTGAAACTAATTAAAATAAATGAATAAATTTTAAATAAAAAAAAATGCTTCCAGTAATTTCCATACATTGGTCTTACTTATAACAAAGAATGTCGATTGGTCTTTCACATGACAGTACTTCCAAGTTGTGAACGCAGTTATTATTCTCTTCCTAACTTTTATAATAATTTATCCATATAGAGCATTTTAGTTTACAAAGCACATTCACATGAATTATCTCTATTCTAATATAACAACCCTGTGTGGTAAGTAGGCAAAGATTATAAGGAAATATTCAGAGGCCAAGTGACTTGTCTAAGGTCATGGTGCTAGTAAATCCAGTGGTCGTTGCAACACGCTGTTTTCTTACAAATTATATTCTTCCAGTTGCTCTAACTGTTCTTAAATTATGATATGATATGACTCTTGGACCCATACGTAGACATTTTGACCATTTACCATGTATATGGCATTGTTTTCAGTGCTATAAATTTCTGAGAGGAAAACAACATTTGCCATCATTTTAAGGGTTTTCTTATGGTACTTTTATCCAAACACTACTGAACACAAAAAAGAACGTAAGTGGTTAAGAGGCTCATCCAAGCTCAACGAATTCATAAAGGAAAAAAAAAAAAAACAGCACAAAACTTAAAACTATGAATTAGGAACTAAATGACACTAAAACAATACCAGAAAATCTTTTTCAATCGCTGATTATCTTTTTATTGTGGCAATATACACATAAGTTTCATAATATTTTATGAAACTTATTAGATTTCATTAACCAATGTCACCCCAATAATTTTAATAATAAAAATTTACCATTTTAACCATTTTTAGGTGTACAATTCTATGGTACTAAGTATATTCACCATGTTATGTAACCATCACCACTCCCCATTTTTGGAACTTCTTTGTCATTCCAAACAGATCACTAATGTTTTATACCTCATGAAAGTAAAGTTAATTGTTTTTTTCTGGCTTCCTCTACAAAATAAAAGACAAAACTCCTTCCCACTGACCACTGACTTAAAATAAGTTAGAATACAAGTGAGATGTGCATCCTACTATCTTGGTTGTGAATACAAAAGATCTTTTGTAACATATGCTGTGACATATAAGATTAAAAAAAAAAAAGGCCTCTTCTAAGGAGGCAGCTATCTATGCTTCTCAACCAGCAGCCAGGCCCGCCCTCCCCACCCTATCCATTCACTGTTTAAACCATAACAAACTGACATGATGTTAGATTATTTTTATGCTCTAGAGCAGGTAGACGTGATTCACTATTCCTGAGCTGGGGCTGACGTGGGGAGATAAATGTTAACTGTTTGCCTCCAGGACTGCTATAAACAATGTCAAGCCCATGCAAGAAAGACCTTACTGGCATTTGCCACCCAAGTCATCAATTATCCACAGCTGGAGCCACTGGAATCCCAACTACAACTGAAGCACGATCAAGGACTCTAGACTCAATCCTGTCAGGAGGACTCTAGGGAGCTCAGTGTCACATTGGTCTGGCTCAGAGCCCAATTCTGGTGACAGCACTGCTGCTCCTGCTGGGACTGAGTCTCCGAGTGATGTGGCAGTTCTGGCAACTGGGTCCATGTCTATAAGCTGTCGAGGGACTCAAAACCCAGAGTCTTCCTTGCTCTTTTCAGTTTTCCAAGGGACTCTATATGTAGAGTCCCACTAAGTCCAGAAAACATTGCCCTGAAGGAGTCTAGTCCATATCAGTGGTTCTCAAATATCACAGGCATTAAAACCCCATGGAGGGCTTGCTAAAACAGACTGCCGGCCCTAACCCTCAGAGAGTCTCAGTCAGTAGATCCAGGTTGGGGCCTGAGAATTTGCATTTCTGTTTTACAAATTTTAAAAAAATGTTATTTTTATTCAAAAGAATTTGTTTCCCTATCACAAAAATTAGATAACCACACCACCGATGGCAGCAAAGTCTGTAGAGTTATATTGATGGTGTAATGTTCACTGGGTATTCTCAATATCCCAAAGGTTATAAAGGAGGGAAAAAAGTAAAAGTAAAAGAAAAAATACTCAAAACAAATACGAAACCCATGAGGACTATGGGGAGAGACAAGACATGACACTTTGTTTTCTCTCATTATCAGCTGCAGATGTATTTCAACAAGATCAAGTACAATTTAACTTGAGTAAACCCTTCAGACCAATTCTAGCACCTTAACTGTACCCTGTTAGCATTTTTCATTTGCCCACATGGTTAGTTTCTGCAGGTTCCATGAGAATTAGCATTTCTAATAAGCTCCCCAGTGATCTTGATGCTGCTGGTCCAGGGACCACACTTTGAGACCTAATGGTCCAGCTCTTATGGACTGAATTGTGTCCCCCAAAATTCATATGTTGAAGCCCTAACCCACAATGTGCCTATATTTGGAGATAGGGCCTTTTAATATTAAATGAGGTGACATGGGTAAAGTTCTAATCCAATATGACTGGTGTCACTACAAAACGAGGATGAGACACCAGGGATGTGCACACACATTGAAAAGGCCATGTGAAGACACAGTGAGAAGGCAGCCATCTGCAAGCCAAGGCAAGAGGCCTCAAGAGAAACCAACCTTGCTGACACTTTGATCTTGGACTCTTAGCCTCCAGAACTGTGAGAAAATAAATTTCTGTTGTTTAAGTCCTACAGTCTGTTGTGTTTCATTATGGCAGCTCGAGCTGACTAAGACATCAGCTTTAAGCCATGCTGCTTGCCACTGTGTCCTACTTGCCAGGATGTCATCGAGCTGAGGCCTGAAGGGTAAAAAAAGGAATGGCCAACTAAGAGGCCTGAGAAGGGTGTTCCCAGAGGAGGACTGCATTCCCCGAAGTCCCCAGCAAGGAAAGCGAGGCTGCTGCCAGGACTGAGAGAAGTCACAGAGAGCCAAGCGCAGGCCTGTGCCTGCAACTCCAAGAAGGGTTGTGAGTAGACACACCGTACTGAGAATGACCCGTAACTACCAGCTTTGGAATCTGAGTCCCTAAACTTCCATGTCAATACGGAAAAAAGGTATCTTAAGTTTTCTTTTATTAATATTCAAATTAGTGTGCATTCTCTGAATACAGGCATGATTGGAAGGAGGCCAGAACTTAGGTATATAGTGGAGAAAAACATTAAAATTTGCTGTATTCATTTATATGTGCAAAAAAGTCTGGCGTTATAAAAGTTACAAAATGAAATAAAATTAAGCATTAAACTCATACGTACATAAGCAAGAACGAGGGACATCCCAGCTTACTGGGTGTAACTTACCTGCGCAAATATGATGGCTTGTTGTGGATAATAAAGAGAGGCAGCTAATCCCATGAAAGTAGGTGGATACACCAACTTCTTTATTTTTGAACCTATTAAATAAAAGGTTGCAGACCATCAGATGATTCCATCTTTACCATCACAATTTGCCTGTACATCTAACACTGAATAAGATTTCTTTGGTCCTAGACTGACAGAGAATGTGCCTAATAGCATCAAAGGAACCAAAAAAGACCGCTACATTTTCATAGTTTCAGTGAGATAGAATTCACACAACCTATTTAAAGTGTACAATTCAATGGCTTTTACTGTATTCACAGAAGTTTGCAACGATCACCACAATCAATTTTAGAATATTTTCTTCACTCCCAAAAGAAACCCTATATCCAATAGCAGTTGTCCTCCAATTCCCTCATCGCACCCAGGCCTAGGGAACCACTAATCTACTTTTCATCTCTACGAACCTACCTACTCTAGACATTTCATATAAATGGAATTATATAATACGCGGTCCTTGTGTCTGGCTTCTTTCATCAGCACAAGGTTTTTAAGAGAACCACCACTTCTAATGAAGCAGAAAAAAAGATCGTTTTGAAAAGAAAACTATACATTATGTTGATTTCTAAGGTTTACATTGTTTTATAGTAAACTGGCTTCCTATTTAAATACTGAACACAAATATTCCTCTCCTCTCTTTTCTAATACTCCATGATAATAACAGTAAAAGAATAAAATACAGATAATAAACCCACGACAACAAGAAAATGTGTGAAGGGGTCACTGACAGGTAAGAAGTATCAACCAATTTTCAGAAAATGGAGAGTGAACAGGAGCAAAGAGGACACGCAGCCTTATAGTCCCAAGGAGGGGCTGAAGTGGAGGAGGAGGCAGAATGGCCCTGGCAGCCCAGAAATGGCAGGTATTGTGGAGGGTGGAGAGGGCAACCAGAGATCAAGACGGGGACAAATGCAAGTCCTGTGAGTGGACTAACTGACCTTCTCTTTCCCCCATGCCATCCCAGTGCAAAACTGCTTGTGGCCAGGCATCTTTCCAGGCAAATTTAAAAACTGGACGAGATATCTCTAAAGAAATGCCATGGATTTTCTGTTGAGAAGCAAGATGGCCGGGGGTGTGCGCATGCCTGTAAGCACCTGAGAGTAGAACCTTTCTCAAGTGGGCACTGGGTGTTGGCGCCCCCGCTTGGTAAGGTCAGTTCCCGTATGGCTCACCCTGAGGTCGAACCTGCCTGCTAGCAAGCCCCATCTATGCATAAAAAATTCTTATTGGCATTTCAATCACTTTATTCTTAAACATGATTGTACAACCAAGGATCACTAGTTATTTGAGGAAAGCCAGCAACATAAAAGAGAAGATCGCAATAAGCAAGAAGGAAAAAAAATGACTCCATAGGAAACATAAGAACTTAAAAAACAAAACTAAACCCATAATTAAATATCATTGAATACAAGAAGGTACTACATTAAAAGAAAAAAGAGTTCTAGGAAAAAAAGAATATTCAGAGAACAAGAAAGAGCTCTTGGAAATGACCAAGTGAAAAAATCAAAAGGAATAAAATAAAATAACCAAGAAACTATAAGAGACACATAAGGTCAGTTTAAACAGCTCAATTGCTAATATGAATTCAGGAAGGAAAAAGAACCAGAGTACACTTTCAAAGAAATACAAGATAGATATCTTCCTACAGCTGAAGGCTACAAGCCACCAAAATGCCCAACCAGGAATGAAACAACTGCATGCAGTCACAGCACCATGGAAGTTCAGAACACTGAAAACTAAGAGAAGACCCTCAAAGCTTCTGGGAGAAAAAAATAAATGACTTCAAAAGGAACAAGCCTGCAGACTAGCTGCTAGAACACAGGATGCTAGAAGATGTGGCCTTCGAAGTTTTGACAGAAAACAAACTCTATGCCCAACCAAACTATCACTTGGTATGAGGGCAGAAAGTAATTTTCAGACTTGCAAGGACTTGGGAAGCTTACTTCCAACACAGGCTCTTTTGAAAGTGACTTAAATAGGTAGTTCAACAACATGGCAGAGCAAACCAAGCAGATGATGACACAGAACCTGGAAAAGGAAGGGGGCGGTTAACCCCAAGGGAGTGTGGAGACACATCCCAAAACAACAGCTGTGTTGAGTCCCAATCCAGACTGAGAGAGGATGTGCAGCCCTGGAGAAAGGAGAACTGACTGAATAGAGAACAAGATGGAGAGCTGGGAGAAACCTGAGAACGAGATTAATAAAATGGGTAGAGGATGAAACAGGAGAATACACTCGAAATGCACTTGACACAAGAAACAGTCTCCATTGAAAAGCACAGGGTTTTTACATGGGATGCAGACAGATGCTTGCACAATGTATGTTACTAACATAGTCAGAATAATGTAAGTGCTGCTTTATTGGTTTTAAACTTTAAACAGACGAATCCCCAAAGCTGGAACTAGGGTTACAGAGAGAACAGACTATTAATAAATCTATTTCTATCCCTGTCTTATTGCCTTTATTAAAAGGATATAATTACTCCAGAAGAGAAAAGCCCTTTACACCCATGGGATCTTACCTGTATACTTGAAGCTTTAAGCAGCTAGGCAGCTCACAGAGGCAAAGACCAGGTCAAGGGCAGCAAACCTGCCAACCAGTCACTTTTCACTCCTCTAGGGAAAGCTGATAAGCAGCAGATCGTGGGCCTCCAGCTCCTACTGGTTCACACAGTAAGCGGGGGACCCCAGAACTTCAGGAAGGAAGTGTAACCTCCTGCCTCCACCGTCTCCATGCCCACACCTCCCAAGAAGTCAGTGGTCTGGGCTGTAACTATTAGCATTGCCAGAGGGGAACCACTGGCTGCCAGAGCTGTGGGGAGCCACCAGAGGGCAGGAATAGTGGGCAATGACCACCTGCCATCTTTGAGGGGCCTAGCTGGGCCCACTTCCTCTGAATGGTCATCCTCTCACCTCAGTCGTGGCCATCCTCATCAACTGAGGCAGACTACCTTAGCAGATATGCTCAAAGGACCCTACCATATGATCCAGCAAACCTTCTTCTAGGTATATACCCAAAGGAAATGAAATCAGTATCTCGAAGAGATATCTGAACTCCCATGTTCACTGGAGCACTATTCACAACAGCCAAGATATAGAAAAAACCTAAGTGTCAGAAAATGGATGAATGGATAAAGAAATTGTAGTATCTGTATATAATGGAATACTATACAGCCTTTAAAAAAGGAGAGCCTGCCATTTGCAAGAACATGGATGAACCTAGAGGACATTATGCTAAGTGAATAAGCCAGACAGAGAAAGATAAAAACTGCCTGATCTCACTGATATGATCTAAAAGAGTCATATATATAGAAGCAGAGAGTAGAAGGGTGGTTACCAGGGGTGGGGAGGTGGGGGAGGGAGAGATGTGGGTCACAGGGCACAAAGTTGCAGTTACACAGGATGAATCAGTCTAGAGGTCTAATGTGCCTATAGTTAATATGGAATCCTGGAAATTTACTAAGATAGGAGATTGCAGGTGCTCTCATCACAAAAAAAGGTAATTATGTGGGAAGATATGTTAATCAGCTTGACTGTAGTAATCACTTCACTATGCATATACATATCAAAATATGTTGTACACCTTAAATACATACAATGTCTATTTTAAAAATTAAAAAAAATACATGAATTAAATGTTAGACTGAAAAAAAAAGAAAGAAACCCTACCAGGAGGGAATTTTGAGCCCATTCTGCTGCCGCCGACACAGGGGACCATCTACCAGGAGGGGCGTGCAAATTACTCAGGCCACCCATAAACACACCTACCATCCACTCGTCCTGCTGAGTGACCCCTCTGTTCACCTCAGGCCCTTCTACCTCAGCGGCCATAGAAAAAGGCCTGTTGCTGAGTATACATGTGTGGGTGTGTACGCATTTGCATACTTTTTTGAAAAAGGTTTTATATTCTTTTAATACTACCGAGCCCTCACAGTAAAAGGAAAATGAGAAAGGAACAAATAAACAAACAAGCAAACAAAAACAAAGGAATAGGACCCTCAGTAGTGTGTGTCCTTATGCTGCTGTTCTGTCTAGAAGAGCGCAGTCCCCAATCGTCCTCGGGATGGTCACCCCAGTGGATGTGCAGGGGATAAACACTCAGCAGTGTTTATCAACATATGCACGTATGGCGCAGCGAGTTTTCTTTAGGGCTGCAAGACTCCCCCACATGCTCTAACCATGGAGAGGGAGGGGAAAGCTCATCTCGCCTGATTCCCTAACACTAGCCAAGATTCCAACACCTGGCCCTGGGATTTCATAAATTCCAAACACTCAAACACTACCTAAATAAGATGGGAATGCTTTTCTGGATAGCTTTACAGAAAGGAGGGAGGAAAGAAGTTTGGGGGGAAAAGCTGGTTCGACTATTTCACAAGTCGATTACTAGAAATGAACTCTGAATTTAATTCTTATATATTCTGCACAAGATAGGAGAAGGGCACGGAAACCCCCACAGGCGTTCACCCTACAGGTTGGGGAAGCGGCATTAGCACAGCATTTCTCCAGAATCTAGACATGGTTAAGGCATGTATAGCAAAGGGTTTTAAAATCAGAGGAATGAGTTCCAAACAAGTCTGTATAGTTATCATTAATGGAGGTCTGATTACAGGATTCATAAACTTTCTATTTTAGAAATGTTTGTAAAGTCTGAATTTTACAATCAGTGAAACTCGATTATAGTGAAGTATTTTATCATCCTTCATTTCCTATGAATGTTTTATAATCCAACAGGGTAGTGTTTTTAAGTTGACATTTGTTAGTTTTTAATTTCAAGTGTTTTAAATTTTTTTACATCATCACTACTGAAGCTCCAACACATCAAAAAATTAATAAAATGTCTATGAAATCACTGTTTTACCTACTGTGATTAATAACCTAATCTTAATAGTGAAACTTGGGAACAGGGTCTCAGGTATGACAGACTTTGGTTAACAAAAGTTAACTCTTTCTCCAAGAGCAACAGTAATTTGATCAAGTAAATGTGCCTATAAATGATAACTAATCTTTTTTTCAACTAAGAGTATACAATTTCATTTTATTTTTTTACAATTTCCATATATGCTTAAAATCAAATATACTGGAGATAACAACTATAACAATTATATTATTTTAAGAAGGCCATATTCAGGATCCAATTCATTATTCTGAAAACTAGTAAATGAAAAGAACCAAATATACGTCTTACCTTTCCCTTATGAATGGTTTAAAAAACACACATACAAAATTGTACCTACCTCTGGCCAAAAGGAGCCCGACAACACCAGCAAAACCAATAACACCAAGTCTTGGAAGAAATCCAGGAGGTGCGTTTTGGAGATATTCATAGCTGTCTACAATAGAGTCAGACCAGGAAACAGTTCCATAAATTGCTCATTAAAAAAAATCTTATATATAACTAGTATACATAGCATCAAATGCTTATCAAATAAAGTATTCTTAGCTTTCTGCTAATATGCTTCTTTTCAACACATTCTTTTTGTGTGATATATAAACATTTACTACTCACACAGCAAGTATTCAACTTTCAAACAATTTTGGTCTGACAACCTACTGACAATACAGAAATGTTAAATTACTTTCATATTTCTAAAGGCAACAGATCTGAATCAACTATTCACATGAAAGGAAATACAAATACAGGGCTATCCAAACTCTTGTTATCCGAACACACAAACACAGAATACCTTGGAGAGATTGAGGGTTTGGTTTCAGACCACCACAATAAAATGAGTCACATGAATTTTTTGGTTTCCCATGTATTAAGTAAGTGTGCAATGGCACTGTGTCTAAAAAACAATGTACATGCCTTAACTGCAAAAATACTTATTACTAAAAAACGCTGACCATCATCTGAACCTGTTGGAAAAACAGTGCCAACAGAATTGCTCAATGCAGGGTTGCCACAAACCTTCAATTTGTAGAAAAATGCAATATCTTCAAAGTGCAATAAAACGAAGCAAAATAAAATGAGGTATGCCTGTAGATTTGGATAAATCTATCCCTCTCTGAAGCTTTGCTGCTTGTTCTCTGAAACTCAGGAACCAAATACATTAGAGTCAGGGAAAAAATATCCTTTGCCATCTGAACTCATTATTCAAACTGAAGAACAAAATAAATTTGAATAATGAAAGAAACTTGTAATACAAGTATATGTGGGAAATAGTCTCTGTTGATAGTGATATATAAAAATAAATGCAACACATGAGCCTATTTGCCACTCCCGAACATGCCTTACACCTCATTCGCATGATGCTGCTTCTCCTCTCTTCTCCAATGGGCCAATCCCACCAAATAACAGCCAGCTCTTAAGTCCTACCTCCTCAGAAAAGCCTTTCCTATGCTCATCAGCCCACACCCTCTAAAGTCCCATCACATTTATTCTCTACACCATCATTTGGTACCTAATTCTACAGCACCTTGTGTTTAATTAATCAGGGGTCTATTTTATATCTCCTCGAGGAGAACACCCACTCCTTAATGGCGGATCCCTTAGACTTATATATTACTTTCCTCAGTGATAATAGTAGATGTTCATTCAACAGATAATTTATTAAAAACGCTGCTAGAAGGTAAAAGATACTGAAAGAATTAACAAATAAATTTCAGCTTTAGGTCAAAACTTAAAAAGCCTTCACATCTCTTTCTCAACCTCATTGTCAGCACTCCCCATCTGCTTCCAGCTCCCGGCACATGGAACCTTGAGTCACACCTCCCAGCCTTGATCATGTGGTGCTCTCTGTGGAATGCTGTGTCCCGCCCCCACATTTTGGTGTGGCTAACTCTGTTCCTTCAAGATTCATCTCAGAAATCCTTCCCCGACTACTCCCGTCTCCCCAATCTCTATTAAACTAGTCTCCTTCCTTTGTACCTTTGATAGTGGTCTGTGACAGTCTCTGTGTTTGCACTAATATTGAATAATTTATTATATGCAGTGTTTGGGACCACTGTCTTAATCAGCCTCGATCTTCGACACCTGCCACGATGGTGACTTAACAAATGTATGTGGAACTGAATTAATTGGAATACTCAGTAATTCTCTCTCTCCAGAAAGAACCAGATACACACTAGTTTTCCTTTTCCTTGGTTCTTTGGGAAATGTGGTTATTGTTTTAAATACTACTATAGGGCTTGTATTATTGGTACTAATTCCTGTCTGGCCTCTTACTTACTTTGCCTTTAACCTAGTTTTAACTTTCTATCTTCCTGTCTGGGTCTTTTGAGACAATTTTCTACTTCCCTTTATTTTTGCCTACCAGCACGGTGTTTTCAATTTTAGGCATGCACACAGGATAGCCGCTAAGACAACAGATGGCCTTGGTGAGCTGAGCCAAAGTGGGTAAATCATAAAGAAATGAGAAAGAAGATATGCTACACGACTGCACTGAAGCCGAAGTCCAACTTCCAGTAACAGGTCTTGGCTGTGACTGCTGGGAAGTGAACTGACTGCCTGAGCAAACAACCATACAACTAACTCATCATACAGGAACATTTCTTTTTAAGAGCCTGTGCCGTAACTATGAGTCCAAGAGAACTCTGCAAATAACGCCTACTGCTATGAATCAATGAGAAATGACAAGTGACAATGAAGAGAACTCCTCAGTCACAAATGTATAGATAAAAGATCAGGAGTTCTTTAGTTACCTCAGGTAAAACATGAAGGTAATAAAGTACCTGTCAGGGTTGTTATGAGGATTATGTATAAATCAATATTTTTAAAGCACTTAGCCTAGTTCTGGCACATAATAAGCACTAAGAAAGTGTTTGTGAAATTAATAAAATGAAGATGTTACTTATTAACGTACATGAATAATTTAAAGAACTGGTAGGCTATTAATGTGTGTCTTCAAATGAAAAATTTACTTATCTGGTAGTTTCAGGGGTATCAGCACATGAACACTCTACGATGATCTTCGCAAAAAATAAACTGTACTCATGTTTATTTCATTCCATCATGGAAACAGACACTTGTGAAAACAAGAGTTTGATTTGCTGAGATGCCCAATCAGGGGAATGAGATATATTACCAGGTCCCGACTGAGATTAGTCAAAACATAGACTGTGAACCTAGTTTATGAGTATATGTGTTAAGTGGATGTGCAAAATAAGGACAATAAAAATCAATGAAAAAAATGTAAGAGCACTACTGATTATGCAATAAAGCCTTTCCTAGGCACACCAACCCAGTTCCTTCCTGCCTCTAAACCGCTATAAAATTTATTAATAGCTGTGCAAAAGAGCTCTCCTGATTCTGAAAAGCTATTGTTGAGTTAGTGTGGGTTAGTGTGAGTTAGGGACTTGATTTAAAGGAAAAAACCTAGTGTATGTGCACTTGCCAGCCCAACGATCCTAATGATATTGAAGAAATTTACCTGAGTGTGTGAGGACACTAATCCTCTGAAATCTGATGAAAAGGTTATCTTTCCAGAAAAATTTACCTAGCTCTAAAATTCTGTATACAATTTTAAGGAATCCGCAGAGCTCCTGGAGCCCATCCATGGAACCCCGATTAAATAGTTTGATGTTAAAAGAAACTGATTATGCCTTATTAAAAATCAACTTACCTAATCCCCACTGAACCAAACTTTGTATCTTGGGCTCAGTTTGGGAATATATTTCCTAAAAAGGCAAAAAAAAAAAAAATGAATGAGTAGGCTTTGCTGATTAGAAAGAAGCAATAAATGTACTTGTCTTCTCTGAATAAATTATCATAAATTATCATGCTATCAACACTTTTTGAACAAAGATATACTGTCTATCTGGTTTGTTTTCTTTTTTCTTTTGTAACTTCCCCTTCCCCACAAATTGCTCAGCAGAATGGTTTATGATTGCCACAAGAAGCAAAGATTTCACGTAGAGCGGTTTCAAAAACCCATCCTTCTCATTCTCTATTAAAATTGAAGAGAATGCACAAAAATCAATCTCCTTGATAATTAAAGTGGCAATCCTTTCCCTGTGAGAATAAATCTGTCTTTCATATTAAGTCTACTTCCTGATTTGCTACCATTTTAGAGCCTGTATCCGAAAATTGCCCATTTGAAACAGGAACGACCAGCTCTAATGAGACAAAGGTGTCTATATCTAAGTTTGGAAAGACACTTGCCCCAATCCTGAAGCAAATGAAGTGTTAACATTCTCTTAACAACAACAGTAAAAGGGCTTTGTGCAGAAACATCAGATGATCCTAAAGAAAACAAGGGACTAGCTAGAAAGTACCCACCTTCAAGAAGTCTACAATGAAGATGGGAAAGAGATATACAGGTATCAGAAGGTATTGGAACCAGCTGCTGCTTGGAAAAGGATCGGTTTTATTTAATTTAGTTCAAGACAGGACAAGTTATCCTGAAACTGAGAAATGGCCTTAAATAATAAAGGCTAAATCTGGGGAAGGACATAAAGAACATAAAAAGACCAAATATTGCTTCATTAAAATCCATTATTAGTTTTCTCTGCCCATAAAAAAAAAACCCAAAAAACTACAGATCAGGGTCTAGAGTGAATGCTCATTTCTTTTGCTAGCATAATCTTTTTACTATGAAGAAAAATTAAATTCGTTCTTGAAGAAAGGGGCAGAAATTGTTGGCCTACAAAAGGAACCAAGAATTAGAAATATTTCTATGCATGAAGACTTTATTCTATAGGAAAATAAAACCATTACAGTCGCAAAATCTTTTTATGCAGAAGTAATGCAAATAAACATGTTGATAAGTATTCGATCATCTAAAGCAGCACTTTGCTACACTGAGTATCATGCAGAGACAAAAAGGTAAAACAAAAGGCTACCTTAGGTTGAAAACAAAAGAGACAAAGTATTTTTATAACCAAAATGGGGGGCGGGGGAGAGGAAAGGAGGAAGGGAGAGACATAACAGTAGTCATGCCTACATGATAAAAAAAAATTTGCACAAATTTGCTGACCTTATCTTAACCACCAGGAGATGCTTTAAAAATCTTCTAGAACAAGAGAATAAAGTCTAAGAGTTTCATAACACAGTATTATAAAGTCTTTAGGTATTTCATAATTCCATAATATGGTTAAGACTCTTAAGTATAATGGCCCAATTTATGCTGTTGATAGAGTCTATGCTTAACATTTTCTTTCTAAATTGGTTTAGCACCAACATAGTGGAAATTTCAAAATTTTAAATGTTCTGAATGAAAATTGAGTTGTAAATCTCAAGCAAAGTAAATCTAGACCATGTCATACACATCTACATACTTTTTACAAATTTTTCATCAATTTTCAAAATCAAGATCAAGTGCAGCAAACATATGTATCAAAGCCTGCAAGAGCATCCTGTGGATTGTAAACTTTGGTTTTAGTGTTCAAAATCACAGAACTGCTTTCACGAAAATGACAAATGCCTGATCTAAAACCTAAGCAGTGACAGAAGCCAATCTGTACTGGCAGTTCTTTGTTTACTGGGGCAAGTAGTCAGTATTCAAATATGTTATTCCACCCTTTTTAGTTATTTACCCTCGTATTATAGCATTCAAAATGCTCTGTAACCATTCCTGTTTAAAGTGATACTGATTTGGCAACTGGAATTGAAAAATAAAAATAATTTTAAAAAATAAAATAAAAATAAAGTGATACTTATTTGTAGAACCTTGGGGGGGTGGGGGACAGGACATCCCAATTTTGATATAAATGTTTATACTGTGTCCTTTTTCTTCTATTAGAGTTTCAGCCCCATATCCTCTCCTAGTAGACAATAAAGTTTTTATAGCTGTGATCAACAAGATACTTACCAGCCCTCACAATAAAGTTTTCATAGCTGTGATCAACAAGATACTTACCAGCCCTCCATGCTGCCCAGTGGGAGTGAAATTCTCTGTGTAGCTATGGCAACAGCCCCCACCAGGAAGCGAGGGCTCTCTACTTCCCCCCGCCCCAGATAACACTGATGAATATTTGTAAGTTTGGCACTCTTAAGTTGGGGCCCCTAATCATGCCTTTTTCTGAAAACATGCAGCCGATACAGACTTTTCACTATTGACTCTAACAGAAATGTG